ACGAGAAGTGGCCGATGCGTCAAGGCTCCCCAAAGACTTTGACTCTTCTGTATGGGGGAGATGTTGGATAGCGCTACACTGAGCAGCCGAGCAGATAGAGCTCCGCGGCTCGTGCGCATGAACTCGTGCCTTGCGCTCGTGGCCAGAACGTACCCGGCTCTGAGCCAATCACCATATTAAACCTCTTGTTCTGCCTTTCTATCGTGTCACCGTTCCCTGGCGCAACTTGCAACACGACTTGCAACAGTTGATGCACGACCAGGATTCACCCAGCAGTCGTTTGACAAAGTTGCACAGGAAGGCCAGAAGGGACCTCTTTTCGTCAGCCTGATGGTCGATGAGATGGGAATAAAAAGACAAACAGATTGAGATGGCAAAAAAGTCGTCGGGTACTGTGACCTGGGTCACGGCATCATCCGTAACGACTGCGTCACCTTTCCAAAGCACGCATTTGTATTTTTGGCGGTTAGCATATGGACAAGAACACAACCATTCCTTCTCGAGCCCAGACAAAAAGTGTTCTTTACTTCGTCGTCCTCTAGCAGCCCCCCACCTCCGGCACGCGATAACACGCGTAACCTAGCTTACTGAACACCTCCCCCTTTTGGTCGGTTGGTGGATAGTATTACAAGTTCAATCTATTCACCGGCTTCACTGTCCGTCCGCTTCTGGTGACAGTCACACCTTGTAGCCCACTAGGAGCTACTGGCAGCTCTGGAAGAGGCTGTACCCTGTCAGTGGTAGCCGGAACCCGAGCAGAGGTTGGAGTCGACGGTACCAGATGAAATCTATTGCGCTTTACAATCCCACGGTCCGTTTTCACCTGGTAGGAGCGAGGTGGACCTGCTTGAGACTGCACCATTCCGCTTTTTCTCTGGTCAATTATCCAGACGCGTTGTCCGCTTTGCAGAGGTTTCAACGGACGTGCGGCATGTCTCGTGTCGAAGTTATGTTTCTGTTTCTCCTTGTTTCCTTCCTCCCACTTCCGTAGCTTCTGAGGGCCGGGAGTGACAGGTTTTAACAAAGAAGGAAAATTGGGACACATTTTCGAATTTTTCGGCCCATTAGAAGTTCAGCTGGGCTAAACCCGTTTGCAAGGGGGGTAGCATGGTATGACTGTAATACACGGTACGCATCATACGTTTTCTTCCAGCTCCTCTTGATGATCTTTACTCCGCCTTCCACAAAACCATTGCTTTGTGGAAACATTGGGCTAGAAGTTTTGTGAACAAAACCCCATTCTTTGGAGAACTTGGAAACCTCGGATTCAAGTAATCTTTGGAACTGCGGTCTGTTGTCACTGTATACGGTTTCTGGCGTCCCATGTCTTGCGAAGATAGACTTCATGTGGCCGACGACACAAACAGCTGCTGGCCAAGGGAGCAACTTCATGGTATCTGGAGTAATAATCCGTCACTAGCCAGTACCACTTGTTTTTTAAGTAGAAAAGATCTACGCCTACTTGCTGCCAAGGCCGTTCAGGAAACGGAGTTGGTATCAAAGACTCTCGGCGGTTGATTGTTTCCTGAATGCATTGTGTGCACCGTTTTACTCGTTCTTCTATCTGCTTAGACAAGCCTGGCCACCACACCGATTCACGGGCGCGTGCTCTGCATTTAACGATACCTTGGTGACCCTGGTGAATGCTGTTCAAGACTTCATTTCTCATTGCCTTAGGTATGATTATCCTCGAACCCCTCATTAGAAGGCCGTCTTCCACTGCAATGTCACTTCTGTGCTGCCAATAGGCACTGTACTCCTGGTCTAACGCTTTCTTGGTTGGCCAGCCCTCCCTACTGAAGTGCGTTAGAAATTGACATGTTGCGTCAATTTTCTGGTTAGCTTGTATTTCTTTCAACTTTTCGTCCGTTGCTGGTAGATTTGCAGTGAGACCTCGCACGTATTTATTTATTTATTTACACAAATACCTGCTTCGCCGTTAGGCATTATGCAGGGAGGAACAAAACAAAAACGCATTAAAAAAACCTTTTCAGTATCACAATCGACAATCATACAGTACCACATTTTCACTCGACCACGCTTCTCCGTAGTCTGTCATAAAAGACGTCATTATTGATAATAGCTATCAGTTCTTCCGGAAGGGCATTCCACCCGTGGGCGGTTTGAACAAAAAATGAATATCAAAAACAGTCAGTACGATAACGATACCCTGCCGCAGTCTTAGAATGATTCCGCCTTGAAGATACATGGTGTGGTTCGAGAATGTAAAGACCCTTTTCAATGCCCGTTTCCCCGTGATATATACTGTGAAAGAATTTTAACCGCAAACACTTTCTCCGAAGTCTAAAAAGGTCCCACCCCAGTCTATTCTTCATTTCTGTACAGCTCGAGTAGGGACTATAATCGCCTGTGACCAACCTTAATGCCTGATTTTGAATTCGCTCTAACTTATTCGCGAGGTAACACTGAGGCGGGTCCCAGATAACACAGGCATACTCCTAAATTGGCCTGATAAAAGAAAAATATAATGGTTGTCTTACGCTACGAGATGTATTCTTAAAATTCCTCCGAATAAAAAATAACATCTTACTTGCTTTGCTACAATACTATCTATGGTCATTCCATTTTAGATTATTCGAAAAATTAACTCCCACATACCTGTGTTTATATACCCACTCAAGTTCATAGTTTTTTATCTTATATGTAGCCATGCTAACAATAGATCGAGTAAAACACATGTATTTGCACGTTTTTATATTCAAGCCCATTTCCCAATAATCGCACCAGCGTTCTAGAATACCTAAATCTTTTTGCATCATACAGACGTCTCCGTCATTTTCTATAACTCTGTATAATACACAATCATCCGCAAATAGCTTGATGTTTGACTGTATCCCCTCGCAAATGTCGTTAATAAATATAAGAAATAACAAAGGTCCCAGTACACTTCCCTGAGGCACCCTCGAGGTTACCAGTACAGGTGAAGATTTTTGACCATTTAATACAACACTTTGCTCTCGCTGAGATAAGTAAACAGCAACCCAATTTATAATATTTTCATTAATTCCTATTAATGTAAGCTTATTAAATACCAAATGATGTGGCACCGTATCAAACGCCTTACAGAAATCTAAGAATATACAATCTGCTCGTTTTTTGTTGTCAATGGCGTTTGAAAGGTAATGTGTAAATTCAGCTAGCTGAGTTACACACGAATAACCACGACGGAAACCATGTTGGGAAGGAGAGAAAAAAATTCTGGAACTTAAGAAGTTATATATTGAGCTATATAATATATGCTCCAAGAGTTTGCACGGAACACATGTCAGATACACGGGGCGGTAGTTTTCAACAAGATTCCTTGATCCTGACTTAAAAAATTGGAGTTACGTTTGCTTTTTTCCAATCGTCGGGAATTATGCCAGTTGTTAGTGATTTGGTAAAAATTATATGTAGGTATCTTGCAATTTCCTCTTTACAATTGTGAAAAATTACCGGCGAGAGCTCATCTGGTCCATATGCCTTTGAAGTGTCTAGGTCTCTCAGAAGTGCTATAATCCCGTCCATTCCTATTACCACTTCTGGCATAACAGATCTTGCTATTCTATCAGGCACAGAAGGAATACCTCCAAGAGCGCGGGGTGAAAACACTGATTTAAAGTTTAAGTTAAAAGATTCCGCTTTTTCAATATCACTGTTCACTAAGTTGCCATCCATCAATAAACCAGAAATTGAAGTATCGTCTTTTTTTATTTGCCTTAACGAATTTCCAGAATTCAGTAGGGTCATTTCTTAATTTGTTTTCAAAAGACTCGTAGAAAATTAGTTTGCTTTCTTGGATATCTTTTTTTAAGATTTGCGGTTATCTCCTCAAGTTTTTGTTCTAAGATATCGGACGGATTTTTTTCTATATTTTTGTAAACCCGACTTTTACGTTCTATTTGTTTTCGAATTGTAGCATTTATCCATGGTTTACGTTTATTATTTTCCCTAATAGTCCTGGATGGTATGTGAGAATCAGCAAGCACCTTAATTTTATGCTTAAAAGTTTCCCATAATTCTTTACCGTCGCACTCTTCACTGAGATCGGAAAAGTAAGGGAAATATGCCGAGAGCTCTAACGAAATACTTTCATATTACCCTGTCCGTACATCATTACTTTGCTTGAAGGCTTTGACACCCTATTTATTTTATGCAATGGTAATTCACATACAACTGCACTGTGATCACTTATACCAGGAATTATGGAGACATTTGAAATAATACTAGGGTTATTCGTCAGTAACAAATCCAAAATAGAGTTTTTTCTTGTCGGTAAGAGTACGAATTGGTTTAGAGCAAATTAAATAAAGAGATCATTAAAAGATTTATACAAGATGGAACTGTCATCACAAGTATATGCAGTGCCTGCCCAATTGATATTGGGAAGATTAAAGTCCCCTCCTACAACTATCAGAGATAGTGGACAGTATTTGACCAAGTTCATCGATATTATTTATTGTTGGGGGACGATAGTAAGTGCCTGATACAAGGGTGCCTCCTTTGGGCAAGTGTACTCGGCACCAAACAGATTCAGTATCATTTGGCGGCACTTGAAGCTCACTGCTTGCCCACCGTGAGTCTATCAATAAAAACACCCCACCGCCATGCGCGTTGCGGTCATTACGATAGACTGCAAAGCCCTTAGTAAACACTTCGCTATTAAGCACTGAGTCATCAAGCCACCACTCAGTGCCCATGACTACGCATGGCTGTATTGCCTCTGCTAAACAGAAAAACTCGTCTACCTTATTTTTAAGACTGCGGCAGTTCATCAACAGAACCGTCGGGCGAGCATTTGAAGATATGGATACATTATCAGAAGTTGTATGAGCGAAAGGTCTATGTCATTCTTGTGTTCTTACATGTATATTACCATGCACGAGGACTGCCTTCTTTTGTTCACTATCCCAGATATACGCTTCTCCATTCACGATCAGCTTATCGTACGACAAAAAGACTTTGTTAGCCTTGTTTAACCTTATTTCTTTTGAAAAATCCTATAACATACGTCTTTTATCGCGAAGCGTTTTGCCAAAATCCTCTGAGACACTGTAGTTTGTATTTTTAAATTTGAACCCCGCGTGTAATATGCTTTCTTTTTCATTCCACGAAACAAAGCTCACAATAATTGGCCTTTTCCCATTCGCTCTATATTCACCAATCCGATGTGCCCTTTGAATCGAAATGGGGTTGACGCCCATTTTATCATTACAGAGTTGTAGCACATGGTTCTTCAATTCTTCCCATGTCTCATTGCTCTTCGTATCATCTATGCCGTAAAACACCAGATTGCACCTTCGACTGCGGTTTTCAAGAGCATCAATCTGTGCTTGTAGGTTTTTGGTCAATCCCTCAAAACCATCAACACGTTTTTCTAAGTGGCCATTGCTCTTCATCAAGGTGTCCAGTTTCTTTTCAAATTCTTCTTGCTTACTTTGAATACTGGAAAGTTGTGTCGTAACCCTGTTCAGGCTCGCAGTTAGGCTCATAAGCATGGATTCCATATTTGCCATCTGTTCAGCCTTCGTAGGGGGGCCTGGATTCAATTCGACATCACCCGCCAGTAATAACAACAATACTAAAAATACCAATTTTCTCCAAAACCTACGGTGCACATAAAAGCAATGATGCTTATAGCGTGTATACGTCATTAGGAAAACGTCTTTGGGTGGAGCTGGCAGGTAAAAACAAACTCTAGGATAATATCCAGAGTAAACAGTACCAACCCGCATGCGAAAAAAGCACGGTGAACTCATGCTGGGATCCCTGTCGGCTCCAATTCCCGAAGAAGTGGTGGCGTCGGTCTTCTTATAAAGCCGCTGGGATAGTCCATTTGTTGCAGTAGGGGTGGCAGCCACGGGAACACTGAAGAACGCCCCCCGATGCAGAACCGTCGTTGTCATGGTCGCGTTCGCCGTGAAATCAGTGGAAATCCACCTGCTTGATGTGATCGTTGATGGGCCACTCCAGCCAAAGCCGTCGCTACTGACAAAGCAGAGCGCCGACAGGACTGTCCCCTGCATCCGAAGCAAGCACGGTGAACTCATGCTGGGATCCCTGCCGGCTCCAATTCCCCTGATGCTGATATCTCGTCCTCCATCTCCTTGTCCGGTGTATGCTCCAGGGTATTTCTGGAGAGGAAATCAGCCGCCACTAGGTCTTTTCCAGGAATGTGTGTAACATCATAAGAAAACCTCATCATCCGGAGTTTTATTTGCTGTAGTCTTGGTGTGATGTCTTCGAAGCTCTTGGACGAAAATATAGGAACCAGCGGTTTGTGGTCCGTCTCGATCTGTATTTTCATCCCGTTTATGAAGCAGTGTTGCGGAATGGGCACCCCCATTCCATTCCAATTCCATTCCGGGGAATTAGAGTTTTCGATAATTCCATTCCTTTCAACTCCTAGGAATGGGGACACTGGGCACATTCCCACTCCTGGAATGGCTGAGTCGCTCCATTCCATTCCTCCAATTCCTAAACGTTAAAAGTGTCACTTATCAGCTGCATTACGTTGCAGGGTTGGGCAGAAATATTCAGAAATGTATTTGGAAATACAAATACTGGGATAGATGAAAATAGTTGTTAAAATACTTATACTCAAGTCTCAAATATATCTATAAAAATGTATCGTGATACATATCGGAAATACATTTTAAAAAGAGGCAAAAAGTCTTTGGAAATACAAATACAAGTATACAATACAATACAATGCAACACATTTTTCAAATTTCTTTGAGACGCCAACTGAGATAAGTTATAAGTTTTAAGTGGAAGTTTTTTTTTTTTTTTTTTTTGGTCCCGAAATTACTTTTTCCCAGGCTTGGCACTTCGCCTTGAAGGTAGTGGTTCCAGACGAAGAGTCCTAAATGGGTTTCAAAAATGTTCCATCAAGGATTGACCGCGGTCCCTTCCCTGGCATCCTGTCTGACTGACAAGTGATGCGAAAAGACTTTGACCTCTAAAATAAATTCCATCAAAACATCATCACTTCCCTGTCCAATAAGGGCGCCCCTGTCAGCACTGATCACATGACGCCACGGTGGGATGGATTAGTATTCTTGAATCTGTAGGTGTTGCCTTGAACATGAAACTTTACCCACGCTGCTGTATGAAAGGACAATACATACTTTCGTTGTAGCTGACCTCGTTGAAGACCTTGCAGGCAGTTCCATTTGAAATTTTCGAGAAAAGTGGATCACCTGAAACATCCTGAAGCACATGTATTATCTTCTGTTACGGTTGAAAAATCGATACGGTGGCATCCCTGTTGTGACGGTCCTTCCTGCCGACTCTCCGCCTCCATCGCATGAATGGCAGTCTTCAAGTTTCGCCTAGCATCATTCAAACAGAGACCTCGTGGATTGCGACCTGATATTGCCGGCACAGGTGCGAGCTCTTCGAGAAACAGCGCGCTCGAGACGAGTCGAAAGTGTACGAAGTCTGGGTCCGCACAGCGAGACCACGTCTGGCCTCCTTCCTGGGTATCGGATCACCAGAGCAGCAGGTCACGTTCACGTCGGCTGATGACGAACCAGCCGTGCAATATTACAGGCGCAGACGAATTCGGATATGTGTCGAACTTCACTGGTGAAAGGCGCCACCGCCGCCTCCCCCCACCCCCCCTCCCCCCTCGGTTCTTTGCTTTGACGCTTGTGTTTTGTATTGCGTTTTTTTCTTTTGCGCATAAGTCTGGTAGGACGTTACGCGGATTCGCAGTTTCCTGCTCATCTTATTTCTGAACAACCGACTCCCTGACTGGCTCGGCATAGCTGAACGTAAAAAATAAATAAATAAATAAATAAAATATAAAGACCTGGCCCATTCCATTCCCATTCCATTCCAGGCAAAAGGCATCTAATTCCATTCCCATTCCATTCCCCTCACCGTTGCCGCCATTCCATTCCCATTCCATTCCGGGGTTGCGAAAATGCGGAATGATTCCGGAATCATTCCAACTCCGGAGTGGCAACTCCGCAACACTGTTATGAAGTCTCGAAACTTCTTGCCCCCCCCCCCCCCCCCCCCCCCCCAGACCACAGCCAGTCCTTCCTTTTCGATCCTTTCTGTTTCGCTGAGTGTTCTCGACGCGTACGCCACTGGCCTGTAGATCCCGTTCTCTTGCTTCTGGCGCAATACTGCGGCAATTCCAAAAGAAGAGGCGTCTTCTCGACAACATGGTTGATTTTCTTGGGTCAAACAGAACGAGTATCGGGTCTGATGTCAAAATCAAATTTAGCTTTTCAAAAGCCCTAGGTTGTTCGTGGTTTTAGGCCCATTGGTTTTTGGAACTCAGTAACGCGACCAGCGGGTGTGACTCTTGGGCCAAACTGGGAAAACATTTCTCAAGGTAATTAACCATTGCAAAAAAGCTCTTCAGCTCCGTGATACAAGTGGGAACTTTCATCGTCACGATGGCTTCTACCATCTCTTGATCTGGACGAACTCCTTCTTGGCCGATGATATGCCCAAGAAACTTTACCTGAGTTTCTGTGAACCGACATTTAGTTTCGTTCAGGGTAATTCCTGCTTGCCTGAGTCGAGAGAGGACGTCTCGCAGGTTTCTGTCGTGTTCTGCTCTTCTGGATCCGTACACAAGGATTTCGTCCATGTTGCAAACTTGTACTTTGATTCCACTCAGAAACTGGCTGATCTTCTTCTGGAAGAACTCTGGAGCAGATGTAATACCGAACTGAAGTCGCTTAAATTTAAAGCGTCCTAATGGTGTGATGAAAGTGGTCAGAATCTTGGACTCTTGAGCAAGCTCTAACTGCCAGAATCCAGAATTTGCATCAATTTTTTAAAAGAACTTCGCATTCCCAAGCTGTCCCAGTACGTGGTCTGTCACTGGAAGTGGATGTCTTTCTCGTTCCACATACTTGTTGAGCTCTGTGAAGTCAACGCAAATTCTGTAGCTTCCGTTCGACTTTGTCACGACTGCCATTGCTGAGCACCAGTCTGTGGGCTCGTCCACACTTTCGATTACACCCAGGGTGATCATACTGTCGAGTTCTTCCTTGATCTTTTCCATTAAGAGAATTGGGATTCTTCGCGGAGTGCTCAGAGACAAAGGAACTGCATCCTTGCGCAATTTAATCTTGTAAGGCTGCTTCACGCAGCCAAGGCCTTGAAAAAGTTCCGGAAACTCGCCCTTTGGATCGACTATCCCGTTTATCGTGTCGACTACAGCACTCAGTCTCTGTACAAGTCCCAACTCCACAGAGTGGCCTCTCGACAAAAGTGGTTCGTCTAGCTCTTCTAGAGCATAGACATAAGCGGATAGGCGCTTTTCTCTATGGCGAATATCTGCTTTCAGTACACCCAGTACGCTCAACTTCGTTCTGCTGGGCCGCTTTACTACTCTCTTGGCCTCAGCCAGAGGCAATGCACTGAGGTATTGTCTGTAGATTCTTTCTGTAATCGCAGTGATGTCTGCCCCTGTGCCTATTTCGAAAGACACAGGAGCTGCCTGGACTGTCAGTACAATCCTCCATGCGCCTTCTTCGGCTGATTCTATGACTCCAAGAAAGGCGGGCTCTTCGGCTTTGACTTCTCTGACTTTCATGGAGCTGCGGCAAACTTTTGCAAAATGTCCTATTTTCTTGCACTTGTTGCAGGTTTCTTGTTTAGCGGGACATCTATTTCGTGAATGAGAACTCCAGTCACACAACGGACACGTTTCCTCAGTAGCCTCTTTGGAAGACCTTCTCGCATTCACCTTGCGCGTCGGTGGTGACGCCTCGGACACTCGATTGAGACTGTCTACAACGTAAAGATCAGCTTGCTGCTTCTTCACAGTCTCTGACTGACGTCTTACTGTGGTTACTTCTTCTAATGTTAGCTTCGCGTCGAGCTGCATCCGCTCGGACAACTTCCTGTCTCGGACGCCCACTACGATGCGGTCCCTGATCATTTCGTCGTGTAGGTTGTCAAACCGGCAGTACTTGGCCAATCCATGAAGTGCTGGTATGAAGTCTTCTACTGACTCCGATGACTCTTGCACTCGCGAATGAAACTTGGCCTTGTCGTAAATGATGTTTCTTCGAACAATAAAATGCTCTTCGAACGCAATTCGTACTGCGTCGTACTGCTGCATTTGCGTCTCTGTCAGCTTCAGCGAGAGAAGAATATCCTCGCTCTTGTCTTTAATGCAGTAGACTAAGGCGCTGACCTGTTCGGAACCGCTTTTTGCTTGGAGTCCACTCACCACTCGAAAGCGCTCGAACCTCCAAATCCACTGGGGCCAGTTCTCTGACTTGGAAAATTTGAACTCTTCCGGTGGATGGCATGCGACGAGGGGAACCGCCATGGCGATCCAAACATCAGGTTCTTGAGAACTGACGACTTCTGTTGCCATCAGTTCACAGTCGTCGTCCTGGTACACTTCTTACAGAAGTCGTCTCAGGACTAACGTCCTTAACCAGTCGCTGCCACCATGTTGTGTTAGCATAGGGACAAGAACACAACCATTCCTTCTCGAGCCCAGACAAAGAGTGTTCTTTGCTTCGTCGTCGTC